ATGTTTAAAAAAAAGAGAGACAAAGTAAATGTCTAGAAAAGAATGATGGCAGTATATATACAAATATGCTCGATTCATTTCTTGAGTGGATTGTTAGAAGAGTTATAAGACCCTCCAATAAAATGATCTTTTCATTAAAAAGTAAAAAGAAATCATTTTAGGAGTGAGGCTGCTGAAAGCTGAGGGTTGCATTTGCACTGATGAATGAGTCTGGGCGGGATCTGCTTCTCAGCACTTTCTCAGTGGTGGCTTCACATGTAATAGCTTGCAAAAGATGCATGTTTGTTGCAGAAAGGAAATAAACATGACTTGCAGCGAAAAATTCTGTGATCCCACAATGGAGTATATGCATGAGGACCAAACACTGGCTAGTGAAGAGAGCAGTGTGGGGAACCAAAGTGTTATCTGAAGCAGCTTACATAAACAAACTCACTGCCGTGGAATTGTGCAGAGCACAACTGTCCTATGGAGTTTCCCAGTCTGTGATCCTGACACAAGCAGACTAGCACATCTCGCTTCTATCAAGCAGCTTCCGAGCAGCTGTTGCTGTTTTTGGGTGCCGTCAAGTGGGTTCCAACTCACTGTGACCTTATGTACCACAGAATGGAACACTGCCCAGTCCTGCACTGTTAAGTGTGAACTCATTGTTGCAGCCACTGTGTCAATCCATCTCCTTGACAGGCTTCATCTTTCTCACGGACCCTCCATTTTACAAAGTATGATATCCTTTCCCAGGAGGGTCTCACCATAAGTGTAAGGCTCATTCTCACACACAAAATTCCCTGCCCTTGAATAGAGGCCCAAACTCATTGTAACCCTAAAGGACAGGGTAGAACTGCCTCTCTGAATTTCAAGATTGTAACTCTTTACAGGAGTAGAAAGTCTTATCTTTCTTCCGTGGAGCGGCTGATGGTTTTAACCGCCTGCCTTGCAGCTAGCAATTCAGTGTGTAACCACTACGCCACCAGGACTCATTCTCTCTAAGAATGGATACTGTGACTTTTAAGGTTAATACAAAAGTGGAGGAATCATCTTTACCACTTATTCTTTAGAGAGTTTTACTGAAAATTGTGGAAAGAAGATCATAACAATGACTTAATATCATGCAATATATTTTGGATATATAGGGAAGACCACAAACAGACTACTGAGTAAGAGATGCAAATACTAATTTCAGGCCAAGGGAACTTGAACCGTGCTATAAACATCAACATATCTACTCATCATGTCAAAAATCCAACCAAAAAACCAAACTCACTGCCATCAAATTGATGTTAACTTATATAAGACAATTTATAAAAAGTTTTCAGTAGTTTACAGAAGGCTTAATCTGATCCTTAACGAGAAAGCCAATTTTGTGGGTGAGCTTTTCTGCTCTTCAAAGCGAAGGCAAGTTGACCTTGAATGCTTACCAAAATTGAAGGATTTACTCCCATCGACTTGATAAATAGTGTTCTTGTCAGTTTTCCAGTAAACTTGGGTATCTTCTCCAAGAGCTTCTTCTCTGAAAGAAGAGAAACATTGTACTTTGGTATAGCTGGTGATAAAAAATCATGTGGGAACCACAGTGGAAAAGACTATATCTCTTAAAGAACATATATATTTTAAAAGTTATGATTTATAAGCACATATAAATGGAGAATCCATTTTTGAGGGCTCAACTCCCTTTAACTGGGGCTCCCTTGACCTCCCTCCCTGCCTCCTCATAGTATTCTGACCGTGAAACGCTTTACTCCGTCCCATGATTGCTACTTGAAGGGGGAGATTCAAAATGCAATTTGGATTATGCCTCCCCACTCAGTCTTAAAATCTTGAACAATCATCAGAAAACTCCTGAAATCTTTAACATGGCATTTTAAGACCTGGTTCATGTCCAACTGTCTTCATCCTCAGACGCAGATCCCTATAGATATTGTAAGGCCCCTCCAAATTCATTTGAAGGCGCCCGTACAGTGTCAGATCCCCTACTGTGGCTTCCCGTCCCACGAAGTTACTAATTCCTTCATTCACAAAGGCCTTTGCGGGCATCACTTCATGCCAGCCTAAGCTGCCATCTCCCAGATGGGCCAGTACCCGTCACAATGTATTGCAGTGATCTCTTGGTGGTGGCTGTCTTCTTTTTTCTTTCCATTCCACCAGAATGGAAGCCCCACAACGATGGTCATTTCTGTTCAGGGCATTAAGTGTATCGACAAATGCTTGCTACATGGATAAACGCTGGCAAGCTCCGAGTGCGCACCAAGCAGAGGCTGGGCCTCGCCCCAGGGGCTGGCAGCGAGGGGCACCTGGAAGCAGGCGTGTCCACCGACTCACTGCGCGCAGCCGGGCTCCCCCGGGAGCGGAAAGTGGGAGGCGCGTGCGCAGGAAGGTAGCCGCACCTCCAAGCGGCGCTGTTTAACGTCAGCAGCGAGCCCCAGTCGAGAAGGGACCTGGAGCTTCCAGGTGTCCCCACGGGACCAGACCGAGGCGCGGAAGAGGTACGAAGCCGGAAGCCCCGGCGGCAGCAGAGCTGGGAAGCGGCAGTTCTCAAAACGCCCGAGACCCACTCCCCGGTCCCGGCCCCGCAGGCGCCCGACGCCCAAGGGGGAAACGGGCCCGGGCCGTGCACCTACCTGCTGTTGAGCGGCCGGACCCGCACGCAGACGGCCACGGCGCCTGCCTCCGCCATCGCGACAGACCCCACGCCCGGAGCCTCCCCTCGGTGCTGGGCGCAGGAGCCGCCCCGCCTTTAAGTTTAAAATTTCCCCAGCGCCGCGTCGGATTGGGCGGCGAGGCGGTGGCGTCACGGACGGTTCCACTGGGCGCCGGCCGGCGGGGGCGCTCGCGGGCCGCGTCCACGGAAGCGAGCAGGAGGGGGTCTGCAGCGGCGCCGTGCGCGGGCCGCGGGCGCGGGCTCGGTGGGCGCGCGGCTGCAGAGAAACAGCAGAAGCAGGGCACTGCTGGGACCAAGCCACCACCCTTACAGAGTCTGCGAAAATTCATTTTTCGCGAGTCAAAGTCACTGCCACCGAGTGGACGGCTCCTAGCGGCCCCGTGGGACCGGGTAGAACTGCCCCTGCGGGTTTCTGAGATCGGTACGACTGTAGCAAGGCTCTGTCTGTTTCCTTGAGGCGTGGCCATTGGTTTCGAACTGCTGACCCAAAGCTATTTAGAATCTTCAAAGAGCCACTCTGATGACAGTTAAAAAAACAAGACAAAAATTCAAAGGGCAAGAGTTGACGCTATTGGTAGGGAGTTCTCAAAAAAAAAAAAGCCGATTTAGGGGAATTACTGAAGAATATAAGTCCCTTTAAATAATGTGGTGAAACCGATTCCTGAGACAGAAAATGCTGTCAAGAAATTCTTTACTTTGTCTTGAACACGCAACATTCTTGTAGCATAGCAACGTTTTCTTTAGGGCGTGTTTCAGTCCTTTTATTTTCTGATTAAAGGAGCATCATGAATTACCCCGGCTGACGAACGAATGTACGAGGGGCTCTGCTGGAAAACTGTGTTAAAAGTTGGTCTGCAAACCACAGGGTCAGCAGTTTGAAACCACCAGTAGCGCTGTGGAGGAACGATGAGGCTTTCAACTTCTGTACAAAGGGACAGCAAGTAGAATAAGCGTTTTGGGGCAGGGGGTGTACAGTGCTGCGGGAAGGGTGGTAAAATGGAGTCCACGTAGAAAAGGAATGTCTGGAAACTGATTGTGGTAGCAACTGTACAATTCTACTTGATGTGACTGCACTATGGAATGGTATGATGTATGTATTAAATCACAATTTTAAATAAAGTCTGGGAATCCCACAGGGCAGCTCTATTCTGACCTCTAGTGGCCACTTCTGGTGACCAACAACACAGAGTTTTTGGTTTAGAGATTTAGTCTCAGAAACCACCCCCACACTGGGGCAGTTCTATATTGTTCTATAGGGTCCCTATGAATTGGAATTGAGTTGATGGCTGTATACTTGGAGTTACCAAAAGTATACTAACTGTTCATTAACATGAGGCGTTTTGAACTTTACCAATTTCATAATGCCATTTTGGAAGATAATTTGGTACTATCAAACATACCTGTAGAGACACATATCCTTTGTGCGAGGCCATGAGAAGAGTCCTAGTTGCTCAGTGGTTAAAGTGTTCCGCTGCTAACTTTCAAGGTCAACTGTGTGAATCCACCAGCTGCTCCAAGGGGGAAAGACGTGGAGTCTGTTTGCACAAAGCTTTGTATCACGGTGTTATTAAGTGCCATCTTATTGGTTCTGACGCATACCGGTCCTATGGCGAGCAGAACAAAACATTTCCCCTGCTTGCGCTGCTGTCCCCACAGTTGTTACATCTAAATCCCTGTTGCAGTCACTGTGTTAATCCATGTCATCTAGGCTCTGTCTCTTTTTCAGTGACCTTCCACGGAGCACAATGTCTTTATCTACAGACCAGTCTTTCCTGATAATGTGTCTTAAGTACATGGGTGGAAGTCTCACCGCCCTTGCCTCTAACGAGCATTCCCCAGAGTCAAAACAAGATAAAATGACACAATATACCCCAAACAAGCTCAGTGTCACCTTTGTGAGTGTCTTTAACAGCACTACAATATTGTTGATGACTCAATAGCCACGAAATGTGTATTTGTAGGAATTTATGCATCTGCCAAGTTGAAATCATGGAGTAAAATGCTCAGAATACATCACTAAGAGCTTTGAACATAGTTGTCTTTGAGGGCTAGGGTTATCTACTAGATAAGGAGTCCAACAAAATTCCACACCTCGAATTGATTCTACTCTTAGTACTCTTAGTAGTTCTGTAGGACAGAGTTGAACTATATTATGAGGCTGCAAATCTTTACACTAGCAGAAAGCCTCATCTTTCTCTCACCGACGGCTGGTGAGTTCGAACTGCTGACTTTGCAGTAGTCCAAACTTGTGACTCACTAGGGCAGGATAAAGTAAAGGACTACTGTTTTATCTTAAAGGAGCCTTGGTGGTACAGTGGTTACGAGTTGGGCTGCAATCTGCATGGCCAGCGGTTTTAAACCAGCAGATCAGCGGGAGAAAGACTGGGCTTTCCACCCTGGGAACTGTCTTGGAAAGCCACAGGGATTCTCAAGCTGAGTCAGCACTGACTAGATAGCAGTGAGTTTGGTTTCTGGTTATCTACTCCCATAAACAGTTACAGCCTCAGAATCTCACAGGGGCAGTTCTACCCTGTCTTCTAGGTCATTATGAGTTGGCATTGACTCAGTGGCTTTTGACTGCTGCTTCCATCAGCATTGCCTGTGGATTCAAGCAAGATAAAATCCCTGCCAATTTCAATCAATTCTCCCTTTATCATGATATTATCATTGATCCATGAGGATTTCATGGCACCTTAATTTCTAATAGTCTCAAACCGAAGATAACCCAGTCCTTCAACAGGAAAATGGTTGAACTGTTGAAGATCCATGCAATAGAATGCTTTTGAGTTATAAACACAAATGATTGTATACACTATGTGGATGGGTATCAAGCTAATTATAGAGTGAAAATAAGCCAATCTTAAAATATGATTTAAATGTTAATAACATTCTTGAGATAAAATTATTGAGATGGAAAACAGATTACTGGCTGCCAGATGTATATAGAGAGAGGGTAGGGCCGAATGTGCATGGTATAAGAGGATAGCAGAGGTGAACTTTGCACTATATTTTGATGGTGTTGGTGGTGACCAGAATCTTCACTTGTGATGAAATTGCATGGTACTACACACACATATACACAAATGAGCACATGTGCCACTATGAAATCTGGATAAGCCCTGTAAAGTGTACCGGGCATTTTCCAGTAGCTAGAAAAGATGTTAGCATTGGGGAAACTGAATGACAACACAGAGGAGCTCATGATACTTTTTCCTGATCTCTAGCTGGAGTTACTTACAAATCAAAAGTAAAAAGGAAATCAATCTCTTCATTGTTTACCAGTCACCACGTTGAGTATCTTAAACATTTTGCTAACATTTTTGAAGCTCCAATATTTACTCAGATAGGTTTCTATGAATGTGGAAGTTAGACTTTTTCTCTTGTTTCAGGTAACATTTATGAATACTTCTTCTCTAGGTAAAAGAAGAGAATTTGCTTTATTTTGTTTTAGAGGAAGGATTTTTTTTTTAAAGAAATAACCCATTTAATGTTTATAGCTTGACAGTTGTATATGACTTTAATATAGGACGATGTCTTACTCATCTTTGCTTGCTTCTGCAACTCCTAACAAACAAAATTCACCTATCATTTCAGCCATTCAACACGTTGGCTGATTTCTTAATTTTGCTGCCCCGATTCTGCGTCATATTGCCCCAGATATGTACCAACTCCATCTTTCCTTGATGCCCATGAAAATAAATTGACTAGCGATGGCATTTGTATGGATAGCTGATTTTTCCAATGTGACTAGATGGAGATAGCTTATGTGATCTAATGCAAGAAAATCAATATTGAATATATAAAATAACTTCTTGAAAGTTTTTTGGTGACTTCCCATTGACTATTTTCATAGGCCAGTTATCTTTGTAGACTTACAGTATTCTCTCGTGTTGTTTTCTTTCACTCCATAAAGTCTTCTTCTCTTGCTGATATTCTTGAAAATTTATTTGCATAAAATAATCAGAAAATTTTTTTTATAATTAAATGTATTTTATTTTTATTTATTTATTTTTAAA